CTTCGGCTCACTTTGCCTAATTCAATTCTATAGGTTCTAAAGATCGAAGGTATTACTTAATATCGTAGAATAAACGGATATAAATAGCCGAAGGATAAAATTAGCGATAAATCTAAATTTTAAATATGACAGGAATAACGCGAATAACCAAAGTTGCTCGTGGAATAAAGTCTAAAGCAGGAACTATCGAGTGAGATGCTCATATGCAGATCAGTCTCGGCCTCTAAGCTGACTGACTGCCGCTCACAGCCTCCTATGAACAGAGTTGCTCAAGAGGAAAGGGTGAGAACTTCTGGGAACTTTCAGAAAAATCACTACTAGTGCTTAAAAAAAAAATGTCGCCAAGTTGGCGAAAAGTCGCCAAATGTCGCAAACTTTAATTTTTTTTTTTTTTTTTTAAAGACTAGTTGAAGAGTTTCTGCTTATATCTCCGATTCTAGTGGAGTTCCGATTCTAGTGTTTGAATTCTTAAGAATTCAACCGTTAGTTAAGTGCGAATTAAAAGTTCTACATGACATCAATATAAAAGTTTAATCAAAAGAAAAATTCTTCACTTTTACAAGCAGTTTTATGCAAAAAATCGGAAAGGCTTCAGATTTTAAATTACGTCCAAAGGGGCGTATTTTAACATTTTTATTAAATATCATGTTCTTCGCGCTTAAACCATAAAATTCAGTTCAAGAGCAATATCGCAAAATAATTTTAAAATGAGCCTATCTTTAGAATTTCCGATACACAGTGTCGCGAGCTGAAGATAAAAATTTTTTTTCTGCACAACGTTGCCAATGCTCGCTTTGTAATCCTTGAGTTTGTTAATCAAAAATTCGTTAAAGTTTTACAAAATAGGAGATCGATAATAAAACGAATTCGAAATTTCAAAATTGGGCTTTCAGATGCCCATATTCGGGTGGAACGTTCAATATTCAAAATTCGATGGCCCTAGGTGCAGGTGTTTTATTACAGTGCGAAAAACATACATACATTTATGCAAATTCTTCATTATTTAATTTCTTTAAATATAATGCAGGACTATAATATTGGGTGGTAGCAATTTGAAAAGTGAAACAATGTTTTTAGTGAATCGACGCAAAATGCCAAAACGAAATTTAATAGTCCTTCTGAGCAAATTGCCTCTTTGGACTAAAAGGAAAAAGAAAGAAAAAAAATCTGAAAGGATTCATATTTTAACATCGCATCAGAGGATTTATTAAGGATTTTTACGCTTTCGCTAAATTCCTAGTTTACTAGTTTACTCTTGATTCACTTCAGTTAACACAAACTTTTTTTCTCTTTTCATTAGTAAATATAATTTTCTTCGTAATTATGCTGCGTAAAATTCAACAATAAAATCACATTTTTTTTTAGTATTTCCGGTCAGAGTATTAGGTTGTTGCCATATATTTTTATATTACCCCTTCTAGTCTTTTATCAGTTGATCATGACAGTCTTCTTTTTTTATTAACAAGATGACTTACTGAACTTTCTTCGTCTTTTTTACTTTATTATTACACATCATTTTCTTTAATGCTCAAAATGAATGCTTTAAAAGGAAATGAAATGCTGTAATTGGAGCCTTTAAAAATTCTGTTGTGCCATTTCATGAAATATTCATTATAGTCTCCGTTTTCTAGATTAGGTATTCATTGTGGTGACTGTTACGTTACAAAAGCAAAATATGACAGGAATGCTTTCCCAATCTTTAAGTAACTAGAAATTTAAAAGTTTTAAAAGCATTTCCTTGTAATTTCTTGTTTGTTCGCACTAGGAAATAGCTCATACTTTGCTTATTATCCATAACTGCAATATTTGCTCGAAATGTACACCTTGCACAAAAAAAAAAAAAAAAGGACAGTTCTATATCTCCCGTTCTACTGAACCGATTGTCGAAATTTAACTTGCGTTTTTCATGTCTCGAAAGTCTCGGCTTTCGAGACATGGAAATGTCTCGAAAAGATATATTAGAGTTGCATATAACATTTTTCTAACATAGGTATTTTGACATAAAATCGGACTTTTTCCGAAATAACATACCGATTTTTTTCTATAACTATTTTATTTTTAAATTTTAGCTCCTGCATGTTAATTGAATTTAGTATATATTTAATATCTCTATAAATAATACAGTAAATAATACAATAAATTTATTTGATTTTTCCTTTCACATTTCGAAATTTAGGTTCATTCCAAATAAAATTCACCCATATTTTATGATTTATTTTTAAATAATTTTTATAAATTTTTCGAAAAAAAAATTGAATTAGCATGTATAAAATTTTTACCATCATCTTAAATTAGACGTATTTCTAAACATGCCTTTAAAAAAAGATCTTTTTTATTCAAAATTTTTAAGCTATACGCGAATTTACATTTTGGCGCGTTTTGAAATTTGGCATATTCGTTATAAGCGATAATAACGCCGAATGTAGTTTACGTATGTTGTTAAAATTATTTGAAAGAATAAACGACGCTTCTGTTTTTCCCTCTCTCGCACAGTGGAAGGGAAAAGAAAATAGGTTGCCATAAATTAAGAAATTCGCGAAGTGAATTATTTTGGCGCAAACTGAAAAAAAAAAATGCGCCAAGATTAATTTTTAAATTTCTTCATAAATTTATCACCAAAAATTACAAAATTTAATAACTACGCATAATTTGAGTCGTAGAATATGGAAAAAAATATGGAACCAAAATATGAAAAAAAATTGGTATGTTATTTTAGAAAAAGTCCGATTTTGTGTCAAAATACCTATGTTAGAATAATGCAATATATAAATCTAATATATATCCGAAGTCGAGCTTCCGATACATGGAAAACGCCTGTTAAATTTCGTCAATCGGTCCAGTAGAACGGGATATATAAAACTGTCCCACTTTTTTTGTGCAATGTTCACCTGCTTTTCGTATTTATTAACCCCCAAAACCGAAATAATACCGATTTAAAAAAAAAAAAAAAAAAAAAAAAAAAAGCTGATGTTTGAACAAATGAGTACCATTTCAATGTTTCATCAACCGAAAGTTTAATATCTCGCGAACTTGCCAAATGAAGCGGGGGGGGGGGATCTGAAAGCTTTCAGATTTTAAATTACGTCCAAAGGGGCGTTTTTTTAACGTTTTGTGTGTTACCTTTATTAATTAAATAAACCATAAAATTCAGTTCAATAGCAATGTCGCAAAATAATTCTAAAATGAGCGTATCTTTAGAATTTCCGATACACAGTTCCGCGCACTGGAGATAAAAATGTTTCCCCCCCACTCGTAGAGTGTTGCCATTGCTCGCTTTTAAATCGTTGACTTTGTTAATGAAAAATTCGTTAAAGTTTTACAAAATATGAAGTCGATAATAAAAGGAATTCCAAATTTCAAATATGGGCTTCCACGTGTCCACATTCGCAGTAGGATTACGTCATTCAAAATTGGATGGCTCTAGGTACCGTTGTTTTATTACAATGCGAGAAACATACATACATTTATGCAGATTCTTCATTATTTAATTTCTTCAAATATAATACAGGACGACAGTATTTAATGGCAACGATTTGAAAAGTGATACAGCCTAGCAAAATCGCAAAACGAAAACAATAGTCCTTCAGGGACAAAGCCCATTTGGACTAAAAATATATGCTCTTGTTCCTTCTGTACGTGTGCATTCATCAAAACTCTATTAATCATAAGCGATGCAAAAATTCGAAGATTTAATTACGTTGCCCGGAAACGAAAAAGTTTTGAGAAACTTTGCTACGAAAGGTATTGGACATTCTTTTGCGCGTTAAATTAAATAATAAATGAAATAAGAAACCAAACAAGACAAGAAAATCCGGCAAGGCTTGAGTAAAGATCAATATTGAGGGTTCTCGATATCGATTCTAGTCGTAAAACAACAACAATAACAGGAGAATTTACGTGAATCTCAGTTTTTGTACTTTTTGTTTTCAATCGAAGCGAATCCAAGGAACGGCTTTCAATTGCAATCAATACGCGAGATGTATTTTTGATGGGATTTATTTTAGGAAGAAGTGAACATCTTGACATCATGTAAGAGTGCTTTGTTTTTAAATCAGTAAATATACAGTAAAAGTTAATTTTTGTGATTTAGCTTGTAAGTATATATTCTATTTAAAAGCTGTTTTAATGTGTTGGAGACCCTACTAGACTGGAAGCAAATTATCGCTTAGTCTGAAACAAATCAAAAGGTCTAAAGAAGTTTAAGATAAGTTTTTTTTCTTTAAGTTTTAAATGAAAAGAAAGGCATAGCTTGTGCAGAAAGTCAGACAGAAGCTTCTCCGACAGTTGTTGTAGCGGATATGCAAGAACCACAGAGAGAAATTCGAGAATATTCTAGCTGAATGATAGAAAATGAAGACATTTCTTTGCAACATCATAGCAAAAAAAAAAAAAAAAAAAAAAAAAAAAAAAAAAAACTAAACCATCTCTGAAATTCTTATGTCCAGTGAACTAGTCTACTGCTGCCGCTACGACTGCAAATTTTGCACCGGGAGGCAGAAAGACTATCGCCAGCCCTGCCAATTACGAGATCAAGATCGGCTTAGGAAATAAATCTATACAAATTGTTTGTGCATAATGAAATGCTATTTCAAGAAAAACTGTGAGCAACTGTAAGATAAATAATGCATATTTTTTAACATGCTTTAAAAGATTAAGGAAAAAATAAACATAAAATAGATTTATGTTTTCATTCTGTGTGACTTTTCCTGTATATATCTTTTTAACTAAAGATAAGTTCTTCCCTTCTTTAAATATAGAGGTTTTTAAGAATTTTTGAACAAAAATCTCTAAAATAAATCAAATATTAGTTCAAGAATTCCCGAATATTAAATCGAGAAAACACATTGGCTACTGGATATCTATTTTCGAATTACAATATTGGTCTATATATCAACAAAGCGTTTCATTTATCATGGTTAAATTTTGAATTAAAGTTATCTGTGTAACTGATAATAGCTTGACACTGAAGTGATGAAGATTTCTGCTCTCTTTTCCAGATCTCTCAGCTCCACTTGAAGTCTTAGTGGAAAAGACTACTTCCAGCTCCGTACATTTATCTTGGAAGCCGCCCCCGATGCCGAAGGGCCTGAACCTGAAGCTTTTTACCTATTCCCTCATACTCACTCCTCTCACACAGTACGGACATGGTAAGAACGTTTTCTTCTAATCCATATTTAAATAGAATTAATGAAAAAACAAAAAGTTTTTTATGACATTCGAGTTTTTAAATTAATGTTTGATATGAAAGCTTTAGTAATAAAGTTTCAGTACTGCTTCTAGAAGAGGAAGGTTAAAAGCATTGCAGCATACTGCGGCCATGATTATTCAGATCAGCTTCCTTCTTTTCGTTTTACAGTTTTGTGGGCTCCTTTAGACATCCAATACTTTTTTGAAGGCATTTAACAGAATACTGTTAAGTTTAGCGGTCATGACTTTGTTGATGTTCACCAAGATTTATGAAACATCATCCTTTTGTCGACAATTTCTGTTTTGGAAAAAGAAAGAAGTCTGTGGAGCCAAACCCAACTGTTATAGTAGACGGTTCAACCTGGTAACCATGTATTTGGCTAAGAATAATGTCTCAATACATGCTGAATGTTTCATTTAGAAAGAATCAGTTGCTGCATTCTACAAATGTGGCCTTATACAATGAAGCTTCTTCAGGAAATGATCAAAAAACCCCATATGATGCTCTGATTGCAAAAACTTATCCCCACAAGACGGCTGGTTGACGATTGTCTAAGACTTGATAAGTAATCCCCGACATCTGCTCTTTTCTCGATAAACTGAGCGTACTGTTTGAACACATGATCACGGGATCATGTCATGGCATCAACGTGGTAAAATATTTTGATCAACGTGGTAAAATTTTTTTATTTCCTAAGTCCTTTCATTTTGATTTCTCTATTATACAACAAAACATGGTGTCCATTCTTTGTCCGTTCAAGAACCCGCGACACAGGGAATCAGGTTGCATTTGATTACCGATCTCCAGAATTAGACAGATCTTCCCAAAACTTTTGATGTCAAGAAAGGAAGACATTTACAATTTGAAATATAAAGAGTTTTTTGTCATTAATATTAATTAATGACATTAATTATTGTCATTAATATTGATTAAAAAGGGATGTACATTTGTTACTCATACAAACCATGATTTGATGGGTCAACTTCAGATTACAAAAAAACGAAGCAACTGATTTTTCACAGGAGCATGCCAGCAATTATCCTTAATTTTAGGTCTTTTCGAGCTTGTTTTAATAATTGCAAGAAAACAGAATAAACAAAGGCATTTCAGACTAGTATAAATTTTTAGTCTTCGCAAGGCCCAACTAACTAAAACAATAGACTACGGCATGAGAAAACCGTAGGATGCCATATTCTTGTAGCTATAAAAATGCTATTGCCGTTTTCATTTAAAAAGGTGTTTGAATGAAAAAAAAAAAAAAAGGGCTGACCTTTAGAAACCACAAAATATTCAAACATTAATTAAAGGATGAATTTCCAAACACTTCCTGCCTCGCCACTTCAATTATCGGACGTAACACATTGTAATATCTCACGCTATGTTGAAGACAAGGTATCTGTATCGATTTGTTCAAGATTTAATGTCAACAGGTCGATGTATTTCAAATGTGTATCCTTAAGCTATGTATGTCTTACCATTAAGATGCCAAATCGTATGTCTATCAAGTATCCATTGTACACCTAAGACGCCCTTGTTTGACTACGTGAACTAACTTATTTTAATATCTCAATGAACTCCCGGTGCGGGCCTCTTGGGGCTTCAGGGAGTTGTTGCCTCTAGGTAGGGGAGGGCGTGGGACACATGCCTGTTTACCTCTGTTGAACATCAGGCGTCCCCGTCCTCCGTCACCTGTCAACAGGTCGAGATTGGAGAAAATATCCCTTCATCAGTACAGAACAGATATTTGTCGAAATTTAATTGTAACCCAATAAATACAGATTAGTGTAACCGTGGATTACAAAACAGATAGTTGTCGATACATAATGAAATTAAAGAATCGCTTTGCTATGGTGACCCGAAAAATGCGACGTGTAAGATAAGAACCACTTGATAACACATAAAAATATGATTGCAAAACGGTGTAGCAAAATAAAATTTTTAAAAAAATGCCCTGTTTTGTGATATTTATGACCATTAATCTTTTCAGGGTTAGAGAAAGAATTCTCGTTGCCGCCGACTGTGACTTCCAAAGAGGTGGTCGGATTGACAGAGAGCACGAGATACGCTGTCCAACTATCGGCTGTGTACGGGGACCCCACGCAGAGGCTGAGCCATGATAAGCTGGTAAGGGTGTCTGCTCCCAAATTCACAATATACGTACCTCCAGAGGTCCAACAAGATATACCTGTTGGAGACGATGGACTTCCAGCCGGAGAACCAGGTAATATTGTCTTCAAAAGCCATCAAGACAAAAAAATGCTTACTATCTTTGAACGTTAACAGCGAAAATATTTAAAACAGCAACACAATCGGATACGTAAATTGTAACGCAAGCGACAAGCAGCGAATATGATTTCAACAGGAAGGGAAACACAGGTAGTCTCTATCACGTGTTTCGTGTTATTCCGTGTCTGTAACTTAGCGGCAGATACGTTTAACGTACGAGTATAAGACCGTATCCACATTCCCTCCTTCATTATTCTATTATTGTTTTTCTTCAGATAATACTTGGTTTCTTCTTGTTCAAACTTGGCACTTAATTTCGTAGCTGTTACACTTGACTGTGTCGGAGTATCAGATTCTGCTCTCCATTGCTGTGAGCACCTTGCACACATTGTCAGTTTGCCGCTAGCATTTAGGACCACCAAAGGCCGAGCACGGTTAGTTCCGACGTGGGTTCGATTTTAGACGAACCGGCAGGCTGCATGGGTTATTTTCATGGTTTTCCCATGTTTAATATGTATGCGAGCCAGTTTCCCTTAGAAATTCCTCCACGAAGGCAACCCTTCCTTTAGGCAGATAGTCCTAGTGTGCTTTCCATAGTCAACCAAACCAAACCAAAAAGCCTAATAACACTTTAAAATTCGCTTACGTTACTTGAAAGTAAACTGGCTCATCTCTGCTATTTAGTGTACATTGATGCTTGCTTCCTGGTGCACTAACGCATGAAGACCTACATACGACTATATACCTACATTTATAATAAAAGATTTTATCCATCATTATTACGAGTCTTTTTAAGTGATAATGAGATCAAATACTTAAATCTAACAGAAGTTTAAACGAATGTAATATACATCATCAGCAGACAGGAAAGGTTGATGTCACGTACTTCTCTGATACTCTGATTAGTAAGAATAAGCTTCCTCCACTCCGAGAGTATCATTTTATTTTTTCATTCTATTTCCATCTTCCATAGGTTAAAAATTATGAAATAAAATACATACAAAAAAGGTTTAGCTAGATTGTCGTTTAAATCAAAATTAAAAATTTGCTTTTGGCAGCTTTACGATTTTAAGTTATGTTGAAATCGGATTTTTAAATTCCCCCCTCCCCCCCAAAAAAAAATTGAAACGATTTGAACGTAATCTTACACCATCGAATAGATCAGAAAACCTTGAAAGAATGATGACATCACGTATTTCTCTCCTATCTTGGAATGATTTGGCTGTGCTTCAATGACAATAATTTTATTTCGTCGTGATCTGCCTCATCTATGGACAAGAAAAGAGTGTAAAGTTTGTAAAGAATTTTTTAAGTTACAAAGATGAAAGGGTACAAGATAGTGCGAAAGTTAAGAATAATGTTAACATTTTCAGAGCGAAAAGCTTATATAAGTATCGTTATATTCAATTCGTTTAAGTTTCTATTAGATAATTTTGATTTAAAATACGTTATTTTTAACAGCCCCACGATTTTATTTTTAGTTACCAAAAATATTGTGTTAGCTAAAAGGTTATATTTTACTTTTCAGTCATTTAAGCAACACCATTTAACTTCCATGGAATACTATACGAACCACATGAACAGTTATATTTTATTTTTACGTAAAAATGTTTCCATGAAACTCTGCAGGTTATTTCAAGACACTTTGTAAATCGAAGGCCTTATCTAGAATCAATATTTAAAGCAACAAAGCTCGTAGCCGTCTTTTAGAAGAGTTTGTATACTTAAATTTTATTGATAACTTTAATTACGTATGGAATATTCCATTCGACCATGTAAATCAAAATGCTGTTTCAGTTGTATTCTGGAAACGAAGAGAAATTCGTCGATAAATCGGGTACCAGCTGCTTTGCAAGTTGAGTAATTACAATTTTCGTCGTATATTATCTTGCAGAAAAGCCGTTCATTTTGGATTCTTAATTATCAATCCAACTGCAAGAGGAGACTGCTTCATTCATTTGCAGCTGTTGGAAAAATTCTGTTAAGTTTTCCCCGCGTGACTTGATTGGTTTCCGTTTTTTTCGAACATCCAATCATCGTCGTCTTCTTTCCTCAAATTATATCCAAACATTGTCGTCCTTTCTTCTTGATTAAGGTAATTATCCAATCTCCTGCTTTTAAGACATTTCAAACCCACGCTTCGCAAATTGGAAAATTTGAGAAGCCTTTCAGTTCTTTGAAGAGCCGTTCCTTTTCTGAAAGTGGATTTTCTTCGAATCGAGAGATTAGATAGATATTTTTTCTTGTGTAAGTATGCTGTAATTTGATATCTGGCGCGTTGTATTTTGGAAAACTATCATAATACCACTGTTACTGAAATTATTTAATTCTCCAGTGGTCTGAAACTCAAATTGCGTACGGGTCGAATACACAATCTGAAATAAAGTTGACGTGCCAGATTTCTTTTTTTAAATGAAATGGAAAATTTTATTGACGAAATAAACGGTGTTTTAAATAATTTAAAATTTTGCTTAAGGTATTTTTCCGTTATGCACCTGCCAGGCATTTTAGCGAGTTTTTTAAATTGTAAACCTGCAATTTAAATTGTCAAATTAAATTAAATAGACACACATGGCTTTCTAGACGCTATTGTGTGTCTGGCTTCTCTTTCATTGGCGCCAAAAAGCGTGGCAGGTGCATTAAAAAAAAAAAAAAAAGTACAATTCGCACAAAAAAAAAAAAAAAAAAAAAAGATACGGACAAAAAAAGCGAGGATGGAGATTAATAGCCCCCTAGAGCTTACAAAAAACAAACAAACAAACCAAAAAAAAAAAAAAAAAAAAAAAAAAAAAGGGAAGAAGAAGAAAGTCTGGAAACTTTCAGATTTTATATTAGCCCCAGTAGGGTTTTTTTTTTTTTTTTCCCCATTTACACCCGCATACACGTTTCGAGAGCATTTAAGCTAATGTCCCTTTGGGCAAAAAATATTTAAAAACAGTATAGACAGTCTCGCGCGCTGGAGATATGATTTTTTTTTTTTTTTTTTTTTTTTTTTTTTTTTTTTTCCATGGAGGTTAGAACAGATGAAGTAAGCCTACTGACGTTCCGATTCATCACGGCCGCTGCCATAAACGGACTTCTGGTTGATTTTATTTACATTCTAATCGGCGTTGTCTATATGTTAGCTATTCATCATTGAATGTTTATAAGTCTGCCGTTTTAATCGTAATACTTAACATAAAAGATTTTCTACTTAACATAAAAGATTTTTAGATTTCTTTGAAAGAACGATTCTGAGAACAATTATTGATAGAAAAATCACAAGGAGTGCAAATAATTCTTTCAAGTTTAATAAAATCTAGTGCTTGCCAATGTTTAAATGGTAACTATAATATAAATGCATCACATGGTGAAACCTGAAAGATAAGTGGTATTACGAGAGATAAAATGTTATCTCTTTGGTGTATTTGATTAAAGCTAGGTATTTTTAAAAAGTTTTTTTGTATATTATATTATTATATTACGAAGATATTCTGGGTTTACAGTAATAAAATATTGGTAAAAATATACATCTGGGTATCCTCCTCATATTATTTTAGGAATATGAAAGAAATTGTGGCTCCGAAACAAATACCTTCAGGACTAGGTTGTATTTTTAAAAATGATAAAAACTTTATATATCTCCAATCGTATGCTTCAAATTCCACTCGCTACAGTACAAGCGACAATAATTTAGCGTTTTTCATGATATATTAATAGATTGGTCGATTAAAATTTGAATGTCGGAAGAATTTTACCTATTTTAGGTCCGAAATCAAAGATATTAATCCTGAAATCAGAAAAAGGATTATTTCTGCAAGTTATTGTTTCTTCGGTTTAAAACCTTTTCTGAAATGTCTAATAAAGAGAAGGACAAAAATTTTATTTTACAAGATGTAAATTAAATCAGTTTTAACCTATGCTTCGGAAACATGGACTCCGACAGTGGGAAGAAAGAGCCGCGATAATCTTAAGAACGATTCTAAGAATAATTATTGGTGCTGTTTTGAAGAATAATTAATATATGGCATAAACGGTATAACTTCGAACTCTATAAAATTTATAATGAGGATATTGTTAAATCCATTAAACTTAAATAGAATAAGATGGCTAGGTCACCTTCTGAGAATGAATGCAGAGCGAATATGCAACTCTTGTTTGTGGAGGATCAAGAGGAAGACCTAAGAAAAGACAGAAGGACTCAACTTTAATGCAACTCTTGTTTGTGGAGGATCAAGAGGAAGACCTGAGAAAAGACAGAGGGACTATCTAAATGATGATTTTGTCAGTTTCTGGAAGGAGGGTGGAATGGGAAAGGCTTCTGAAGAAGGGCATGGCCCACAAGGAGCTATCATGTCAGTGCTGATGATCAGATATTAATACGAAAAATATATTTAAATTTGTCTGATTTCTCAGGCTTTAAATTGAAATTTTAATTTCACAGTCTTTCATCATAAATTCAAAAGATGTCAACTATTTGTATATAACGTTTTATTAGCATCATTATGCCATTAACATGAATATTGGTGGAGTTAGCTTTGGATAATATAAAAAGCTATGTATTTATACGTACGTTTATTTGTTTATTTCTAGTCTGTAACTGCAGCGAGACTGGGATGGTCGCATGCACTAGGAGGCCTGGCTTTATGGAATGTACTTGTCATCCAGGTTATGCAGGCACTTGGTGCGAGGAGTGTGCGCCTGGAAACTTCAGGGCAGGCAAAGAATGTGTCGTGTGCCCATGTTCCAACCTCACATCCACAGCAGAATGCAAAATGGGTGAGTGCTTTTTTAAATCTATTTCGGAAAGTTATTCAGCATCCCTCCATCTTCTTAATAACTTCAAAGAGAAACTATGCGGTATACTTCCAAAATTATATAAGCATCATGAAAAAAAAAAAAAAAAAAAAAAAAAAAAAAAAAAAAAAAAAAAAAAAAAACAGGTTCTACCCTATAAAACTAGTATGATGTGCAGACAACAAGATAACATAAATATGCATACAAAAACCTTAGCTTAACCACTACGATCCATAACGCAACAATCGGTGCTATTTTATGTATTCAGACTTGTCTGCAGCAAGGAGGAAAAGAGAACATCATACTTATTTATGTATTCATCCAAATAAAATTCACCAGTGAAGATTAATCAGGGTAAAAGAGCTTACCTTTTGCTTTGATTTTTCTCCCATTAGGCGTAATCTGCCTTTGACATTTTTATACCTAAATTATGGTGCTTGAGAGTTTGTGCTCACTAATCAATTAACACATTAAATAAATAAATACACTTTATTGAATTTACGAAATTTAATGAAAAACTACTTAAATTATAACATTCAAGACGAGTTAATGATGAGACACGTCTGTATTGTTCGATAATTCCAAATATCTTCCTGCCCCCAAAGGTATGCTAACATCGGGAACGGTATTTCTCCTAAACTTATTCGTTGGAAGGTTTATGGTACATCAACATCTGCAATAGCGCATTTTTTGCTAAACAGCTGTTGACTTCAAATACAGCTGACTCTACAGCATAGCCGCAGACGACTGTAGTTAAAATATCTGATATGGACACTACGTGACGTGACTTCCTTGTGCGGCGTATTATGCAAATTTTTTGCCGCACTTCATTTAAACTTATTTCTTCGCATTTCATTAGAGATAGATTTCTCATTCAATCAATTCGGTTCTCACTTCGCGGGAAGGCAAAAATACATAAAAACTCAAAACATCTTGATCAAAAATTGTAAAATACAGAAAAATTTAAAACAGCAAATACTTTCCAACATAAACCTTCTGACAGATTTCGAAATGTGGTATGGAGCCAAGTTATGTTGAAATTCTGCAAAGGTTTTCGAGAATGGCACAGTTTTAAAATTTCTTTATACTTCGGTGAATTCATCATTCCATCATAGGATTTTGATTTCCAGGGCCATCTGCAGTGAAAAAAACCAAAACAATTGCTTTTGAGGGTATTTTACGGTTTGTCAGATATGTTGGTCTTATTAATTCACCCTTGCTTCATCGCACTACGTTAGTTGTGTAGCCATGAACAAATAAATGAGTCTCATGGCTGAAAATGACCTTTCCCAGTCATTTGTGGTCCAAGATTTTTATTTTTTGGCCCACGATAATCGATTGTTACATTTAACGCGTCAAAAGTTGTTGTTTTTTTAACAATTATCTACTTCCCATTAGTAGTGAGAAATCTGTCTACCCTTCACGTTTGAAGGATGACTATCAATAACAGTAGCCAATAGATCTCTTATAACCCTTTGACTGCTAACGGAATATATATGTCCCACTAAAAGTTTAAAAATGACTGCTGGGTTAAAAAGTACTTAGAATCTCCTGAATGTTGGGAATCATCTTCCAATAGTTGGAAAATTGAGACGTCGCTGTGCTCGTTTATACACAAATAAACGTAGAGAAAAGAACAAATGTGAATTGCCCAATGGTAATGTTGGGTTATGCAAAGAGTGCTTTACCATGTACCATACGAGGTAAAATCTATTTCATTCTATTTATAATAAAGTATTCCAGAATAATAGGTGTGCTTATAGTAAGTCGATCGCTACGTGTAGTATCCCACCATTAATTACGGTTGGGACATATGTGTTCAAGCCTTTGGCTTGAAAACTGCTTGTCCAAATTATTAAAAAAATGCTAAACTGTATTTTACTTGTGACATATTTTGTTCACTTGGATAGAGAACGGGGTAATTTTTTTTTTTAAATTCGTGATCAAAGGGTTAAGGTCTTTGCTAGTTTTTATTAGATTAATAATGCCATTTCGGAATAGGAATCGATCTGATTTTGGCGTTATTTTCCTTTCCTTTCCACATTTGCTCTTCCTTTCTGGGGAAAATGATCCAGTTTCATTGTGTCTCCTGAGAATTCGAGAAATACTAGATTTTCTAGCACCAGCCACGGAAGCCATATTTGGTACAGTCGATTATATGATTATTGAGAGTGATAATTTTTACTCTTTTTCTTGGTGTTATATCCATTCTTAGTACATTAAAATGAACGAATGCAAAACGTTCTCAAGTATGCAAAAGTAGCTTCCTCTTCTGTCACAAACAAGCTTAAAATAGCGCAATAAACCTAATTTAAAACCAGTTCTATGTAGTCAAAAGTTGGCATGCAGATGGTATTAAGGCAGGCAAAACATCTTTGAGGGACTTGCTGACAACTAAGTTAAAATTTTACGGAAAGATCGTTTTGTCCCAATTCATTTGCACACTGTAGTAATTTTAAGTAACTATTTTGAAAATACTGCGGGTAAAAATATTTCCTTGAAGTTGAAAACAAGTTTGGAAACGATTTCATTTATAAATGAATTTTTAAACTATCCTCCATACACTAAACTTGCTACTACCAGAAGCATTAAAAAGTTGTTTGAGCGAAATGTACTGTTTTTACATACATCCTGATAACAATAATAATAATTTTCCATCTTTGTATTTTAGAGGAATCTGGTCAAGTTTCATGTGTTCAGTGTCTACCTGGTCATCGAGGAAGTTTGTGCACATCCTGTACTGCTGGATATCAGTGGACTGAAGACAAATGTATGCCACTGAACTGTCTCAGCAACAGCCTATGTGCGGAACAAAGAAACGCTCCCGGCTGCGAAGACTGCATTTTCTTAGAAAATAAGTTTCCTACGACAGCTCACAGAAGCAATTCAGGTCAGTAAATTTAATTGCTGATGTCAGGCTAATAAAAAAAAGGACATCCATTCAGAATTTTGAAATACCAAGACAGGCTTCAGTCCCACTTAATTTGATGTTCTACTGTACTGAAAATATCCATTGTTAAGTCAAAATATTGACGTGAAAGTTCCTGCCACTTAAAATGTAATTATGCATTCTTGTTTACAGATCGCAGTATTGCAGATGGTACACTCCCTCTCATAGCTGTCGTAGTAACTCTTGGAGTCCTCCTTCTAGTCGCTGCCATGGCTACTTGCTATCGTTATTGGGATTATCGTCGTCATCAACCTCGGATTCCCTTCTGGAGCATAGAGCTGCAAGATGAGAAGTCAGATTTGCATTCACATTGCCAATACCAACATCTGGATGCCGCAACAAATCGAGCGGTGAATCTAAGTCGAGAAGATGGATCCAATGGACCTGTTACAAATGGTGAAATCGGCCGACTCAACAGTGATTCTATCAGACGGACATATAACACTATGAATGTATAAAACGTTGTCCCAAAACATTTTAGCTATGGACCTTGCAAAGTTTTTTTTTTTTTTTTTTTTTTATGCCATGTTCTGAATTTCATATTTGGTACTTGCAATTTGGTATCATTTTAAGTGTTATCATTTTATGCTTCTACCAATGCATGCCACCATCTGCCTGCAGAGACAGGCAGAATTAGTGGATTTTATATATTCTCTTATACAGTTCAGATTGCATTTAAGTGTGATAATTTTGATGTAGATTCAAATACAAATTGTAGAATACTATCAAGTCAACAATGCCTTTGAAATGTTTACTCTTAAATAGCATGTTTTGGACTTTCACTGAGTTAAAACTGTACAACTTCATAAAACAAAATTTAAAATTGAGTATTATATTACGACGGCCCACATGAAACTTATATTAAATTTGCTCATATCTGTGTTATGAATAGATGAATAGAAAAGGTGGTCCATGGCATATGATGATTTCGGGATGGAAATTAATATCATGAAATATAATTCTGATAATTATTTCACAAAACAATGGAATGCCCAATGCCATTTATTATCATAGTTCTATTCCTCTTCAGTTTTTCATTTTTTGAAAAAAAAAAAAAAAAAAAAAAAAAATCCACATTGTCTAAAATTTGTACAACACATTTTAAGTCAAACATGCACCACCTACCACTTCCATTCTGTCATGTCTACCACTACTATAACACTTTCCTAGTCAGAGATGCAACTTTTCAGCCATCATTCTTCGGATGATACAGCTTCAAAAGTTTGCTGTAATATTATCCTGAATTTATCAGTATTCTAGCCCTATTAACGTTTACTTGAGATTCCACACAACCTTGAGAAAAATGTGGCAGTGTTCAGGGCCAACACTAGGTATTTTGTCGCCTGGTACAATTTCCCTGAGAATTCTAAAATCTGCTGTTGGGTGCCTCAATAAATTCTAAACATTTTGCCTTCTTTAAATTTCGATGCTTTTCTAAATTCTAAAATTTTTATCACTCAATGTGGACACTAGTCTTAGCAGTATTGCTAAAATTACTTTAAAAAATCTTGAGATTTCATGGAATACACTTGAAAAATGTACTGTTAAAAAAATAAGAGCTGATGAGGGATATGAGTTGACAGTATATAGGGAGACAGTATGAAATTATGCTGAAGTGCCAAATTCAGCATAATTTTATTTACAGTAGTAGTTTTTTAAAAATCAAGTCTAAAAATTTTAGCTCCTCAATGTTATTTGAATTAGGTATTCAGTTAGGTTATTAATATCTCTTTTTTATTAAACTTGATTTCTTCTTTCAAATTTCCAAATTTAGTTTCAATAAAATTCAGTATACAACATCTATGCAACACAGCACTTAAGTAAGTATACAACACTCTCTACATCAGGGGCGTAGCTAGAGGGGGGCATCTGTTCCCAGGCGCAGAATCCAAGGAGCGCCAAACTGATGTTACGACATTTTAGAATTAAATGTTTTCCATCCTTGGCAAGCAGTAGAGGGCGCGAAATCTTCAGTTGTCCCCTGGCACTGAAAACCCTAGCTACGACTCTGCCCTATATACTGTTCCCGAGTTGACAGTATATAGTTATAATGAACGATAGTTTATATCATATTTTTTGTAAAGTAACTATTTTAAGTTACATTTCATGGCATTGGTTTCAACCTCAAAATCAACAGATTCCTCTGGCCCATATTGCATGAGATTATCTTTTAACTGATTCCATATTTTGTAAATTTAACTGTGAATCCAGTTAATTTGTAGTATTACCTCACTACCATATGCATATTCATTCTCTTAAAATTTGTTGCTTGCCATGTTTTGACTAAATGTCATAATTTTTTTTGATATTATACAGCATTCCACTTTGACATAGTAGTTCATAGATTATGAGTAAAACTAGAAAAAGACTTCATTAAGCATGACAGAATTCCCACAAAAATTTTGCTGCTTTTGCTTTCAAAATTTTAGTGGATTAGCATATTAAGTTATGAATATATACAATGGGTTAATATAGTGTTCTGGATTTGGCTGTGCAAATATATCCAAATGGAAAAGGATAGGAAAAGCAAAATAATGGAATGGAAAAGTTCAAAACCTTTTGACAGGAATTTTTCAGTGTGCCCTTCTTCATCACATAAATTTAGACTACATTTACACCTACATTGTTCCTCCTAAATGATAACCATGATAACAAATTGTTTCAATTTATTTAAATCTCAAGACAATGAGATGAGACTGCACTCTCATCTTCAAAGAGTTATTCTTCAACATGGAATGCAATAAAGAATTGGTTGCAAAGTTACCAATGGCCAGGCCAGCCATATCTTGCCCGAGTAATTTCCACCACCAAACTTATTGTTATGCAGTTTCTTCGATGAGGGCTACGTTAAAGATTACGTATTTCGACCCATTCACGCTTTAGCACTCAGTAGACCATGTAACATGGACTGCATTTAGATTTCATCAACTAATGAGTTGAGAATTCTTAATGAGAATATTTAAGATGTTGCAGATTTTTTCCCAGTATTAAATTATCCTGTTTCATTCCATTTATCCAACAGTATATTAAAATCCTGAACATAATTTTATAACTCCTACTAAGCAACTATTATACTTCTTTGAAAAATGATAAATTTTTTACATGAAGATATTTAATACAGCATGTTTAAAAAGTCAGTGAATTGATTTAATTCAGAAATTCATAGAAAATTGAAGATATTACAGGATTATACAGTGATAGAACAGCTTGAGAATGGCAATGCTAATGCTTGATACAAAATATAAAAATATTTACTACAGCAGCACTCCTACTCCACCCCCACCCCCGAAAAAATTCAAAAACTATAATAGTTTTTATTATTCCAACAGTTAGTAGAAATATAAGATTTCAGAATACTTTAAAAAATTGCACATGCTCTGAACAGTAAAGTATTCAGAAGTTTATGTGAAAACAATTGTAAATTTTCAGTTCTGTAGGGCTGCAAATATCGAAACTCTCATGATGATGATACTAAAATCAGTACTTAAATTATTTCTCATGATGCGTATCAGTTCTTAAGCTGAACAAAATGTCTCATTTCTTAGTGCATTAAGCTAATTTTTATGTATTTAAAAACTAAAAATCTATGTTGAAATTTTTGTCATCATAATAATGATAAGTATTTATTTTTGGATATATAATAAAATTCACAAAAAATACTGATGTAAATATTATTTGGTGCAAAAAATTTAATTCTTTTAGTTCCAATTATTTAGTCATACAAAACAGTTCTGATGTATAAAATTTTTACAGTAATTTCTAAAATGCCTTCACTCTAAAAACTACAATACTTCAATGATTAAAAATAGACTGACATAAAAAAATTTCAATTACTCAGTTGACTGAAATAGCTAACAATTCTTTAAATTATTACATATAAACCCCACTTCATTCAGGATTCAGTCTTCACTTTACGTAACTACATCTTTGCAAAAATAGTAAGAGATTTTAGTGAGTGAGTTTATCATAGTTATAGTTTTCCTAATTAAAATTTGCAGATAATAAACTCTTGCTAAAAAAATTGAGAAAATTTCTGAAATTTATGTTTGTTGTAATTTAGTAATAAACCATTTGTATATAATAAATCACTTTCATTCAGTAAAAAAATTACAGGCATTAAAATGCATGTTTTTCATGTAGTAGTTATCATTTAAAATCAATCTTATTTATATATTTATATCCTACTCCATTAGTTTCACATTAAATTCCATATATGACAAATTTAGATTAGAGAATAATAACTGATGGGCATGTAGAATTTATAAGAAGTGTATAGATTACCTTCTTATCACTGCATCTAGTGGTAAGACAGTACAAGAATGCACAATGCTGCAATGCATTGCGTTGCACATAATCTTGTGATGTGAATATCAAAGTCTCAATGCTTTATATTACATATATCATGTTATTAGATTATTTTTCTCTTCAACAACTTTTAGTACTAAAATATGGAAATATACAGAATGAAAACTTGAATATATAGAAATAAAAAGCTTTAAAATATTGTTTAGAAAGAGGAGAAAAAATTCCAAGCTTACGGACAATTTTTTAAATGGTTAGCGACACATAATTAGTTGCATATTGCATTTTATGCTAATTCTGCATTTAAAGCATGAAATTGAAAAACAAGTAGTGCGCACACATCAGAAAAAGCTGATGACAGTTCATTTTATGCAGCTAGAGTGGCATATTCCATGTACTCAGTATTCTTATAGAAATATCTGCATAATTATACCTCTCTCTCTTTATTTTAACCGTATCAGGGATAATGTTGCTCTGTAAAATGAACAAAAACACTATAAAGAATAATCTCAATGACCTTTGTGAAAATTTACTAAATTTATAGCACTAAAAGGTAAATGTATGCAATCTCGATATGATTCTATGCATTAAATTTTTTCCCCCAGTTTTGAAAGGATTTTAGAATGTTAAATTAGGCTGAACTTTTCCCCAAAGAATTTAATAAGACCTACAGATTGGAATTTTAGTCTTGTTGGAAAATAAATAAGAGCTTTTTTACAAGATTGCCATTAAGAAATAAGCTTTCACTGGTGAACTTCTACCCTCAATAAAATGAACAAATGCAAATTTTACTGAATAAATTATTTATTTGCTTTCATTTACTAATAGTTAAGTCATTTTTAGTAAATTAAAATTTTAACAATAGTTAAAATACTTTTACAAAATGTATTACCTGGAAGTATGCCAACTCATCTGTTCCTATTACCTTGAGATTAATTTTGCCTCAAGTATAGGTGTAAGTATAGGTATAGGTATAGGTGTGAGTGTAGGAATAGAAGAGATAAATATATGTATAAGACAAGAAAATATGTTTTCCTGCTAAAAACTTATGAAATGGAACGTAAAAGCTTTTATTCTAATGTCTATTTATATATTCTGTAATCAATTAAACTCAATTTTGATCTAAATTAGCACACTCCATTTCTATTTTAAATAATGAAACTTTCCACAACCTCTTTGTTTAATCAGATTTACAATTTTCCCCTCTAGTTTTCAATTTGTATTGTTCATATAATAGCACAGGAATAGAGCCTAGTAGTTTATTAAAATGTCTTATTTTTGAATAATATGATTTAAAGAATGTGGGCATAAATTTTAAATATATCTTGTTGTTTCTTTTGATCAGTGAAAAATAAATTCATCTTGTAAAGTTATCCCACACTTGAAAAGATCAAAAGCCAATGTTTATAAATATAAAACTCTAACTATGCAATCTGTGAATGCTTATGATTCAATGTAAATCATCTGTCCGGTGATAATCTATATAAAAAAGATATTTGTAAAGTATATAATTGAAAAGCAGCATGAGATTGTGTCTTGAAATGTGTATGAACTGTAAAAATTTTTATTTATTTTTGTATTTATGAATGTTAAGTTGCGGATTTTTGTTGTATATTTTGAATGCTCAAATGCAGTTCTATATTCTACATTGTATTTTTTTACACTTCTGATAAAAGAAAGATTGGAGAATTATGCATATTTTCGTGGATTTAAACTAATCACCTGCAAAGACAGGTATTTTAAACAGATTACAAATGGTAAAGTATTTTTAAAGAGGTTACAGTTAAAATGTTAACATATTATAAAACATTAGGCATGTTACATTCCAAGAATATGATTACGAAAATGGAATTGTATCAAAAAATATTTCATTTATAATTTTTGTAATTTCATTTTATTTTGTGAGATTTTAAATTATCTTTATTTACGATGCTTACATACTGTACTGATAAAAAAGAAACTGAACAAGGCCAATCAAATTTTGAAAACAAATCTAAATTAAATTTGATAGCCATATTCCTTTCAAAGTAGTATTTTTTTGGAGGGGACTTGATATTTCAGCTTGCACTGTGACTGAAATCTGCCTAGCAACCATTGCAATTTGGCTTGGATGTCCCACGCAAAGTCATTGTTTCAGATCAGTATTATGAGCTGTGTTTATAGCTGCAACTCTGAAATGAAGCAACAGGCTTAAAATTCAAGTTCTCAAAGGGCAAGTAGGCTTTATTGAGGCAAGTAGCTTTATTGAGATGTTCTAAAAATGTCTGTTACAAGGGTGCTCACCTCTGCAAGGAATGGGTTATGGCTGATCCACTAAGGCAATGCTTCAAACTATGGGCTCCAAAGAAGCAACATTTTCTGGCATTAACAAAATTTGTAGTGTTTTATTATTCCCATACACACCAAACCAAGCATTTAAAAAAACTTTTAAGAAGTAAAAAATTGTCAGAATTTTGGTTCCATCGGAAACATTCACACCAAATTGCAAAGAACACTAAACACACTTTTATTAAAGGATTTCCAGAGAGCCTATTAATTAAAAGCACTGGAAGAATAAGATTTTTTTTAAATAAGTAGAGACAAGACTTAATAGTTTTCAAAATGTGGCTGGCATGGTTCAATTTCCATTTTTATCATTCTTGTAATTATAAAAAAGTATAATTTAAAATTTATAATTAAAAAGTGACATCAAAGTAAAAATTCGTCACTTGTGAATTATAGCTCTTTAATCTTGAGTTCAGGTGTTTTGATATTTTTTCCATAATTTAGCAACAAATTAAATTTTCCTTAAACTTTACACTAAATTCCAATTATTGTGCATTTTATGTGAACTGCAAATCCTGCCTAGCTAATGATGGATGTCAAAGTTGTTTTTCTCTCTTTATGACTAGGTAGGAGCTGCTTATTGCTATCTAAGTGTACCCTAGTCAATGTGAGCTTTAATTTTTTTTCCTTGTTTCCCTATTTGAAACCACAATGAAACACAAGTGTATATATAATAGTGCATTGTATTATATCAAAACATGTGCGAACTTTATTAAGAATTACAATGTACAATTTTAATGAGTTTTTGAAGCACGCTGTTGTTGTATGAACTTTTCAACCTTTCGTTCCAGCAGACTTAGTGGTCCAAAACTTTGTAGGACTATGTCGTGAAACTCCCGGACATCAAATTTTGAACCTGTGGGTGTTTCAAAAGAAAACTTTTATTTTCAGAAAGCTTTTTCCATATTTATACATATTTATTGTCAATTCATGTTCATAATAAAATGCACTGTAGATTGTGTCTTTCATTTCAGATGCAAGTTTAGTATTTTCAAAAGAAATATAATATACATAATGCATTGAAATAGAATACTACATTTAAAACTTGATTCTACAACATAATCTTAATCTATAAGGATTTGTTCATAACTTGTTTGTAATATGAAAAGGAATAAAAGAAATTAGCTGAAACAAAAAACTTGAAATCAAAAATCCATAAAGCTAAGATTAAATCTCAAATCTAAGATCACGTTAAGATAAAAAATTATCTCAAACTGAGATAATTTTTGAGTTTTGTGGATTTCAAGGAAACTAGGCTCAAAACATAAAAGGAAGAATAAATAAATTCAAAAACAGGACATAAAGGGAATTTATTTTTGTTTTTTTTATACAGAAATATATACATTAAATGTATTTTTGTTTTATTAAAAAAAGGAAATATTATCTTTAAAGCATAATATATAAAAGCATATATATATTTCTTAAAACAAATTATAACTCAATTTTAAAACTAAAGTAATTAAAAAAATTATAAGTGAAATTGTTAGTAAAATTGTCTAGGGTTATAATTTACTTTAACTATTATTATATACCAATCTCAGTAACTGCAGCGGTTTTAAAGTTCTATTTAAGCATATTGTTAACTTTTGTTCTAAATATATACAGTACAGAGTCGGAAATCCAGACTCGTCGGGACTTCTGCGATTTTTGATTTGAGATTTTTCCATACTACAAATTTCGCCGTCCATTAATTGATTGATTATTGGGGCATTGTCATAGCAATGAAAAACTTGTTATATCACCTTCATTTATTACCACTTCTCCACATTTCTTTACAAAATCTATAAATTGGAAAATTTCACGTTTGGTTTGCAATATCTGAAAACCTTCAAATTTGTGGCTATCATCTTCATCATGTTCACCATGAAGTATGGTAATTGGTCATAAATTATGCCAAGCATTTTTTAAAGTAATCTGGAAACTCATTCTCTCATTATCTTGTAATTCTCCACACAGCAGATGTTATGCTAAAATATTTCAAAAATTCTTGAATAGTCTTGCCATTTCAAGAAATTTAACATGGATTTTTAAAATTCAGCTATATATTTGCATTTCAGCCCGCACACTATTCCGATATCCATAGGCTGAATAATAGATGTACAATTTGGAGGAAAGAATAATATGGATACATTATCTTTCACTAAAACTTTAAATATGAGCCAAATAGTTATCTGAAATCAGGATCATTTTTGCGTTATCGGGTAAACCAACCGAATTCAAATGTTGCTGTGCCTCAGGTACGAAATGATTTTCTAACTAATCATTTATTAACGCTTGTTTCATCCATGCTCTTTTATTTACATGATATATAAGGGGGGAAAATCTTTACTCCTTTAAATGCGTGAGGTCATGCATTTTTCCTGATTACAAGAAGTTTACACTTGTGTGTTCCTGCAATATTTGCACATGCTAAAATTGTTCGTCTCACTTTGGAATCTTTGATACTAGTTGGAGACTTTTCTAAAGAGGTTGCCAAGATATTTCACAAGTTTCATCAGTGAAAAGACCAGTTTCATCAGTGTTGTAAATTTGTTCTGGAGATAACTTTTTACTATTAATTAGTTCAATGAACTCATCTGAAAATAGTTCAGCAGCTGAAGAAAAATGTAATTTTAGCCTAGCTTAATAACATCTTCTATACATTATTGTCTATGTATCATGAGATTGGTGATGAAAGACAAGTTGTTGTGTTAATTTTTTTCCTGCTTCTATCGCACACTGAGACAACTAAACCTGAATTGTATTAGTTTAGTTATTTATTATACTCATGTCTGTTTCTTGCGCATGCTTCAGGCTTATCTGAGTCCTGAATAAATAAATTTCCACATATACTTAAAGCTTATTGAGGGCTGGCTCTAGATATCTTGCCGCCTGATGCAGTCCCTGTGGGCCCTATTCAACTACCAAGAGCATCTCTAAGTTCTAAATTTTGGATTTCAGTGCTTTCCTTAAATTAAAAAAATTTTGCCATTCCTTAATTTTTGTTGCTCGATACATCTCTAAATTGAAAAAATTTTGTGTTACCTAAATTCTGCCACACGGTGCGGCCATACGAGCCTCTGGCGCCAGGTCTGGGATTATGTGAATAACAAATCAGTTATTCCTAATTCAAACAGCACTAAATGTAATCTTTAGGCGTATGAGTATCATTAACAAAATCTGTTTTTAGTATATGGAAGAAATTTTTGTTAAATTTTCCCTCATCAACATTCCTTAGTGCATTTAACTTAAATCCGTAATCATTACCAAGCATACTGTCAACATAAAAGGTTACCATACTTTTTGTTATTCAATTACTATTGTAAAAAAGTTGTTTATGAATGTTAATTACTGCATGAGTCATTCCTCAAGTTGTCATGTGGTGATGAAAGCAAGATATAATAAATAATGATTCGCCAGGTTGGCGTCAGGGATATAAAATATTAGTAGGTGTAGAATCAACTATGTTTCTATGTAACAATGTTTCGTTTTGAGATATATGCTTAGCAGATATGAAACTTCAAAGCCAAATTATTCATCACACAAATTTATGCTAAAATGATTGTTTCTTCAATAACGAGGTATTTTATTTAGTGCCGAAGTAAAATTAAGAATTGGGACTCTCCACATGTTTTATAATGGCGGGGGAGGGGGGATCAAATGCACAAGCATCCTCCCCCCTAAAAAAAACATTAAAAAAGGGTTGGTCGTGGCTCTGACATCCAGATTTTAGATCATTCCAGATTTCGAACTTCGTACTGTATATATGTAATGAACATAAATTTACAGAAGTACTTATGTAAGAGCACTGCGATATAGAAATGCAGAAAATACTGATGGTGAAGCACATAGATGGCATATTGAAGAGAAAGAATTCTGATTGTGTAGAAAGTTAAATCTTTAATGACTAGGAAGCTTGGTAGTGGAGGCAGATAAAATTCCACTTTTTATTTCACCTGATATTTGTGCCACAAATTCACTTGGCACTCTAATCATGCCTGTTTCCAGAACGTTTAAATTTTTGAATTCTATTGCGATATGAAGACAGCACAACAAAACTGCATCCAAGCAACACACAGGGTGAACCTGAAAGTGCACATTTATCCAATATGGAAACTCAGCAAGAGAACGGTTTTCGTTTAGGTTATAAAAGTTTCAGTTCTCGAAATTTCGAGTTTAGGCTCTGAATTAGCTGCGTCATCAGCATTACACAAGCCATGCAAAATGGATTGATCTGGAAATGCCGCAGTTCAGAAAAAATTCAAAATTTTTAGAATAGAGAGGGAGAATTATGGGGTTAATTTTGATTTACATATTTTTTTCTTACATATATAGATACATAACAATGTAGATTTACAGAAGACAGGTTATAATTTAAGATACACTGAAGATGCATACTGAAGAACCAACTTGCAGTCAAAGCAAGTTTTTTTTAAAATTTTAATTAATATTTACTGCCACAAACAGGGTTCGTACACATTTCAGCACACAGAAATTATGGACTTTTAAGGACCATTAATGAAAACAATTAAGGACCTACAAGCAAATGGGAACTGAATAAACTCAAATAAAAATATTATCTACGCCTGAATTTCACATTTGTAATACCATCCTAAAAATAAAATAGATCCCTGAGTAGGATGTAATATTACTAAACATGAATTAATTAACATCATTATTAATAAGCTGGAGAATAAAATAAACTTTATGCAATTTAATCAAGTAGCATTAAATATTTTACACTTTTAATAGTTGGACATATTTGAAAGGAGATGAGTGACATTTATGTTTTACTAATAGTTAGCTTTATGTTATTTTTTTTATGTCTCATTTTGTCATATATATGCTCAGTCTAGAGGTTTAGTAAATAGCAGGTAGAATTTATGTCAAGTGGCATAGGTTAAAGTGAGAAGTAAGATCATAATCAGCATGATTCATAACCAAAAGACTGAATGTTGTCGTCGCTTCTGCTTGGCTAGAGAGAGACCTGCTGATTAGAACAAACTTGAAAGGCCTGATGTAGGCATGGTTGGCAAGTTTTGAAAGTTTGGTTGGTCTCTGTTTGATGCAGTGTAGCTTCATGTAGAGTT